CAAATTTCATAGCCACCTCCGAAGCACTTGTACCTCTAATATTTTTGTAAACTACATTCTTCACTTGCACTGCTGATTTCTGCAATTTTATTCCATCAGAAGTTATTAGTTATTAGAATTCGACGAAACCATGATATATAAAGCCGATTTCCGGGTAAAATCAGACCTGGTGTTGGCATGGTTTATCTTGATCGCAATAGTTTTGATCGATAATTATGGGATTAGTCACATTTTGCATCATCACATTTTCAAATACGATATTCTTCGCGTATCCACGCCCTCCCTTCACGAAACCATCAATACCAATTAAAAATATTTCTGAAAATTTTAAAAAAATCTAAAAAAATGGAAATGACCTCCCACATTAGTATTTGTATTTTATAATGTTGCATTTAGTAAATTTCAAGTTTCAATGCTCCATATCTTGTATAATTCAAATCAACTTTTAGCATATCGTCGGTACCGCCAAAAAATATGATTAAAATCAAAGTCAAAGACAATAATTAATTTCAACTACACATTTCATAAAATCTACAACTTTTCAACAACACATTCTATCAACTTTTATCAAAATCTACTAAAAATCTAATTTTAATCCCCACCAAACAAAAGCTAATATTTTAGCCATTTGCCATCTAAAAGATATGTATTAATTAAAAATGTGGGGGAAAAGAGTTAAAAATAAAAAGTTTGTTGAAGTGTGTAAAAAAATTTAATATTTTAATTTTAATATTTTCTTTATATGTACAAGAGGCTCTTGAAGTGCCTAGTTGGTGTTGACAGAATTTGGCAGAGTAACTAACACATAATAAAAATGAAACTTTAGTGCTAAATTCGCAATAGAAAAAGAAGAAATGACCAAAATAAGGCATACTTGTAAGTTGCTCAAATATGTTTTTAACTCTTAAGATAAAATCGTTAAAAGAAGTTTATTTCTTGTCTAGTTACTTGGTGATTAGGTAAAAAATGCTCGATTTCCATTTCGATTATAGGTGTAGATATAGCAAAAAGAAATATACCTGCCATGTCTTTATTCTA